CTATTTCCTCCCAAGGAGATGGAGTCATGGATGGATGAAAAGAGGGAGGAGCCAAGAGCCCATTGGTTAAAAGTCCAGAGATCTACTTGTGTGTGTCTAGTTCTGGCTCCACATTTTAATAGGCACTTCAGTTACCATTTGTGTAACTCTGGGCCTCAGCTTTTCCTTCCTGTGAAATGGAGTGATTAGGATGATTCTTCCTTGGGTCTGCTGAGCAATATTAATATACCCAGAGCATCAGAAGCTAATATTTTCTGAGCACTTACTAAGTGACAGGTGCTGTTCTAAGCCTGCTGTTCTTAAGCAAGTATTGAATGTACCACACACATAGAAACACCTTATGAGTGCTTGTTAAATAAATCACCTTCTTGTATCCCTGTAACTTCATGAGATAGGTTTCTTATTATCCCCATTACATTGATATTATATACACTGAACTATATGAAGCCGATCTATTGAATTTCAAATCATCAAGTATCAGCAGTTTCATATGGATCAATACAGTAAGGGCTTGGTAATCCTTCCTGATTAAGATAATGAAAATGATATCTTGAATTTAAGGAAGAGGATGTGAGGGTGTGTCCCAGGCTGCAGGTCTGGGCTCTGGCCCTAGGCCTGCCCCTCCAGAGGTCTTTGAGGTCCAGGGAACTTTAGAGGAATTGCCTGGGAGGTGACCAGGAGAAGTGAGCTTTACTTTATCATGGTACAGACTAAAAGGGCAGACCAATTAATCATGGAAGTTTCTAAAAGTGCTTTTATTTTGCCATTTAGTATGCCAGAGAGATCATTTCCCTTAATGTATACTCCTGGTATTAACATGCCTTAATCCATCACATGCTGTATTATGAAATTACTGTGTTTTATTCCTGGGTCCTGCTGAAGATCATTAACCCAACTCTTCCCGAGCCATACATCATCAGAGGGATTACCTCACAGGTCTGGGGACTCTGCTCCCTCTGCCGCACGGCAGGGCAGGCCCAGTCATTTTTCCTCGCCTTCCCTGACAGAAGGGCTGTTTGCATTAGTGAGCAGATGGCTCCTGAGTGAGAAGCAGACATTACCTCCCTCTCACCACCTCTCCTTCCAGTGACCCAGGTTTCCAAGAGACACGGCCAAGAGGGAGATAGTACCCCTCCAAAGTCACCTTTCCACACTGCTTCTGGAACCGCCAGGCTAGCCAGGGGCTCTTACACCATCATAGTTATCAGGGACATTAGCCGTCAGATTCTACCATCTTGTGGCTCATTTCCCAGTCTTCTCTGGGGTCTGGGTGGTGAAGGCTGAGATCCTACATGTTGCTTACACTAACTAGCTCAAGGGCTAGCCCTGTGCCATTTTCCAAGATTGCCCACTCATCCTAATGTGGCCTTTGCCCTGTTTTTCCCATTGTATCTTCTTTCTTTTGTTCTTTTTGAGGACCCACGCCATTCTCCATAACTTTCTACACCATTTTATTTTTATTATTATTAGTTTTTAATTGACAAGCAAAACAGACACATTTATGGCATGCAACATGATAGTTTGATATATGAATACATTGTATATGTGTTATGTCAAATTATTTAACTTATATATTACCTCACATCATTTCTGTGGGCATATATATGTGGATGGTGAGAACATTTAAAATCTACTCTCTTAGAAGTTTTCAGATATATAGTACCTTGTTGTTAACTGTAGTCACAATATCATTTTTTGAACAGTCATTTCTTGACCTGAAATTTTGTGTCTTTTGACTAACACTTCCCAGCCTCTTGGAACCAGCACTCCACTCTGTTTCTGAATTTGACTCTTTTTTAAAACTCCCACCTATGTGTCAGTTTTCTATCACTGTGACAAACTTCCTAAGAAAACCAATTTAAAACAGGAAAATTGTACTTTGGTTCATGGCTTCAATGGCTTCAGTTCACGGTTCCATTGTTACTGGGGCACGGGGAGAGCACTGTGGCAGGGGGTGAGGAGACAGGCATGTGGCTGAGCAGAGCTGCTCACTGAATGGCTGACAGGAAGCAGAGAGGGAGGGAGGGAGGAGCCAGAGATGAAACACACCCCACCAGGACATTCCTCCAGTGACCCACTTCCTCCGCCTAAGCCCCTACCTCCTATGACCTCACAACCTCCCAATAATGTCATCAAATTGTGAATCCATCAATGTTCTAATCCACTGATGAAGTCAGAGTTCTCATTATCCAGTCACTTTCCAAAAGCCCTCCTGTAGGCTTAGTAGCTGCAGGCAACAAGAAGACACTGGATAGGTGAACATTCTTGTGCTGGAGATCAAGCCTTCAACTCTTGAGCCTTTGAGAAACATTGCAGATCCAAATCATAACAAATAAGAGTGATCAAGTGGTACTTATCTTTCTATACTCTGCTCATTTCACTAAATATAATATTCTCCAGGTTCATCTGTGTTGTTGCAAATGACAGGATTTTTTGTTTTTAAGATTGAATAGTAGTCCATTATGCACCACATATGTGTACCACATTTTCTTAATCTACTCATCTACTGATAGACATAAAGGTTGATTCCACATCTTAGCTATTATGAATAGTGTTGCAATCAACACAGAATGTAGATATCTCTTCAACATAATGAATTCATTTCCTTTGGATACATATCCAGTAGTTCCTTTGGATACATACCCATTGATACATTATATGATAGTTGTATTTTTAATTTTTTAAGGAAGCACCATACTGTTTTTCATATTAGCTTCCTAACTTTTATTCCTACCAACAGTGTACCAACCCATCTCATTTCCTGAAACCAAACCCTAGTGTGTGACTTCTGTGTCATCTGGATTTTGCCCATCCTTCTCTGTCTATCAGAGGCTTTTATCAATAAAAAGCATCTCAAATCTAACACTTCTCTTTTTTCCCTGAATCTACCTTAACCCAAGCTCAGAGACACAGTTGTTCCTATCTGGTCTTCCTGATCAATTGCAGGCCCTGAGATGCTTTCTAAACAGCACCAAAAGAGAGAACTTCTAGAAACACAAACCTCCAGGATGTCAGAAATGTTCTGTAGTTTGACCTAGGCATGATATAGGAGTGAAAACTTGTGAGAGTATTCATTAAGCCATTCACTAAGATACAAGCCTTGTCATGGTCCCTGAATGTATTTTATTCCACAATAATGTTAATGAAAAAAAAAAAAAAACCCATAAAAGAGATTGCCTCATTCTCTAGAAAACCCTGCAGCAATTTTGTATTTTTATATGGAACTATAGAATCACTATTCATGGTGACTGCAGCAGTCATTTAGAAATCCAGGAACTCAAATCTCTGAAGACACTCATCTACACACAGAAAGGAAGTGGAACACCTGGCAGGGGTGGCCTCTTCACTGTTTGACCCTGGAACGGGTTGGAGATGTGGGGGTGGGGACGAGATGTAAACACAGCTTGTGTTTACACATGCACAAAGGGTATCATCCCATGGAACTGGCCAATCCACATGGCCTTGCTCCCTGTGGGAAGGGCTTGAGGCTGGAGCCTGATGTGTGTGGGTTTGAGGTTGGAGGTGCTGCTTTCTCAGATGGATTCTGATAGGTTGCCGTGTATCTTCTAACACTATATCACTGGCAGAAGGTGGCGCCTGTGCACTTGCATAAATACAAATCTCCTGGTCACGTGCTGGGACTTCCTCAGTCAAGCTCTAGTGACACCTGAGAGAGTCAGATAGTTGGGTGCTGTCTGTCCAAAAGAAAATATCAGCAACTGCAGATCACCTTAGAAGGCCCACAAGGACACAAGATGTGTTTCAACTGTGACTGCTAGTGAGTCTCTGTGGCCATAGACTTCCTGGAGTTATTTGGCACCACACACTGTGTCAGTAGCCATAACTATGGACTCAGTACCCAAAGTGCCCTCCAGGTCACTCCATGATACAAAGGCCATGGGCTGCTGGACTTTACAAGGCCAAGTGACCATCCCCAAATATCTCTGCCAGGCCTCATTAATTGTCCCCTTCAAGGCAGTGCTGAGAAGTCAGATGTTGGGGAAACTGATCCTTACATGATAATCTTCGTTGGTATTGGCTTACAATTTATTAGGCCCCCAAAGCACATATTGCTTTATTCCCTCCTCACCAGAGCCTGAGCAAGAAGTGCCACTAGTTCCCACTTACACCTGAGGAAACTGAGGTACCAGAAAGAGTTTGTCCACTGTTTCATTGTATAAAGAGCACTTTGGGTGTTTATAGAACTGAATGACTATGAGGAATGGTGAGAGGACCCACTCGAAAGTCTCATAAGCCCAAGTCTCGTCACCTGAGGTACCCATGGGTCACACTCACCACTGACCTGCTGATAACCCAGTCAGGCCCCAGAAGGTTCATGCCAGAGTTATACCCCATGCTCTCTGGAGTGCAAGCCTCTGGTCACAAAGGAGGAAGGGAGGGCCTGGGAACTGCATGATGGGTCCTCAACAGCTGCTCTGACAGAGGGCAATGGTCAGACGAACACTTACCAAGCTCCTCAGGACACAGCTCAAGACAACTTTGTTCTCTTAACCTGGAAACTAGCCAGGTACATCAGGGACATGTAAAGAAGAGTGGCTCTGCTCCCAGGGCTGAGTTTGACTGAGATCACTGGGGGTCATTACCACGGTTCCTTTTGTACATCTTTGTCCCTGCTGACTACTTTTCTTAGAAAGGAACAGAAAATGAAGAAAGACAGGAGTAGCATCTATGACAACTGACACCCACACATTGCCAGGAAAGAGACAGATGAAACCCTTGCACAGAGTAGGTTTGGTGATGCCCCCCCAATCCAAGGGAAACACGTGGTTACAGATTAATAACCAAAGAACAGATTGTTCTGGATAAATTTCTTGGAAAGTCAGAAACCACACAATGGCCAGCAACACCAAAGGTCAACAGCCAGCTAGCTTGTCAATAAACCTAAGTTGCACTTTTCTTGGCAGAAAGGATATGAATGTGGGCAACTGGACTTTGTAACAATAGCCCCAAAATAACCCAGCATTTCAGGATTGGAAAATCAACAAAGCAGCTCAACACGAAAGTTGCACTGGCTGAGGACACAGTTTACACTGGGATTTCCATGAAGGGATGGAGGAGCTGTGGCTTGATCAGTGGAGAGACAACCTTGGGAGAACAGCCAAGAGGCCAAGGTCAGACACTGTATCAGTTTTACATTTCTATACCAAAATATCTGAAGTTGGATAATTTATAAAGTAAAGAGTTTTATTTAGCTCACAGTTTTGAAGGCTGAAAGTCCAAGATTGGCAGCCTTATTTCTTTTGGCCTCTGGCTTTTGGCATCAAGGCAGGAGTATATGTGAAGGGGAGAGATCACATAGTGAGACAGGAAGCCAGAGTGTAGGGAGGCCACTCCAGATCTCCAGTGACCAGGGCTCATTTCCTGACCTGTGACTTTGGGCTCACTTTTAGCCCACTGGAGTTTTCAGATACAAAAAGAAAGCAAAACTTCATAGAATAACTATGCTTTCAGAATTCTGAACAGATGGATGATGACTAAAAGCAGTATCCCAAGCTTCTCTCCTTTAAGGCATCTTTCTCTTTCTTGAATGTACTTTTCCTTAGTCCACCCGTGGCTGCCTCTTCTTGATTTCCTCTTAAATGCAATCCTCTCAGCAAGGCTATGTCTAAACATTTTGCTAACTAGAGCTTCCTCATGGCTCTCTTTCTCTCTATGTATTCTATTTATTTATGGAACAAAATCTGCATTTTGTAAGTTATTTTATTGCTTCTCACCTACCTGTGGTGTCTCCCACCAATTACTAAGCTCTTAAGAGGCAGAACTTTTTGAATGTTTTGTCCACTAACAGTAGAAGTAGCCAGTGCCAATCACAAGATAGATGAATAGGTGGATGCATGGATACATAGGTAGATGAGAGATACAGTCAGAAAGACAGACATAGAGATGGAAGTCTCACCAGCTGGATGGGTGAATGCATGAAAGGTTATTATAAGATTCAAATGAGAGAGTGCACCTGAAATTACTAGAGACCCACTAGAAGATTTGATATTAATGTAATACAACCTTGCCACACCCTAGTGCCAGGCACTGTGACGGATGCTTTACAAATATCACTATCTCAAATCATCTAATTCTGTGAGACAATGATGCCATTGTACAAATAGAGAAACAGGGGTTCCAGTGAGGTTAAGTAACTGCTGATGACCACAAGATTGGTAAGCTTATGTAAGCCCGCTTGAAAGTTTACATTCTTCTCAAAATGACTCCAAGTGTCTCAGCATTAGCAAAACGACCACGCAAGGAAGTTCTCCCGGTTATGACAGATGTACAGCTGACACTGCTAAGTGAAGTGGCTCTGTGGTAATTGCTGAGTCAGTCTGTCTTTGAACAACTTTTCATCTACCTTCTCTTTTACTGCGAGTTGTCTTTTCTTACTGCTGTAATCAAAGAACCTTCACTTAACAGCAATTCATCTCAAAGGCACCATTTCTAATCACTTCTAGCATGAAATTGGTTCTTGTTAAAAGTGGGTGTAAACTGGGAGTCAAGAATTGGTACCATGCCTGAGACACTGAGTCCAATCTTCAATACCAAGAAAGAAAATTTATTTCAGTAGGGAAGAATGTCGGTGAGTTAGCTGCAGTCTCCTCTGATTCCTCTAGAGACTTTTTATTTTAAATTTTTAACTTCAAGTTCATCCAAGGAGTGAAATTTGAGGATTAGTATACATATACACAAGTACTAGTTTGCCTGTTTCACCAGTTTCTTTTAAAAGTCACAAAAGAGAGAAAAACTAAAGTACTTTGGGGAACAATGTGGCAATCTGAAGATACAGATATTTCACAGTATGCTACTTCTGCTACTACTTAAGATTTTATTGCAAACCTTTATGGTATCAAAGAGATTTCATTGTGGTGTCAACCACATTTCCTTATTTAATCATCACACAACACTTTGAAGCATCCACTGCAAATGTGCCCGTGCTACAGAAATAAGTACCAGTTCAGAGAAAGTAAGAGCTTGACCACTTGAGATCAGTTCCTTGAGTGAACACTGGAGTGTTTACTGCTGCATTTCCCATGGTCAAAACACAAGATCCCCCTACAGGAACTCTGCACAGGATAGAGTCCCTATAGAACCCACTCTGGAAGATATAAGGACAAAAACCACCCAAGAGAGAGTAGGACGAACTTGAAAGTCTTGTGATCACGTTCAGGATCTTAACTTTGTGCCCTTTTATGACTAACATGGAATCCAAAGGGCAAATAACCATGATCGTTAGAGATGCAGAGTGAGGCAGAGCCCCAGAGTCCTCAGAGGAGAGCATGGTCTGTCTCTTCTTCCAGGAAGAAGACTCTGAGATGGAGACACTGAAGTCCAGTGACACCCAGCAGTCCTCACACTTGTGCAGCAATCATCACACTGACCAGGAGTTTGTAACAAGTGCAGATTTCTGGACCCCATTCCAAACCAAATGTATCATAACCTCAAGGAGTGGAACCTAAGACTGCATTCTTTATAAGGTCCCCAGGAAGGATTGGACGATTGGCAAATCGGAAAATTATTGGTGTGGAAGAGAAACAGCCTAGGCTTGGGATCTGTATTAGGTTGAAGAATATCCTTCCAAAATCTGTGACGAGAAACCTTAAATGTGTGACTATAAACTCAGAAAGTGACCTTATTCCAAAATAGAATCTATATTAGTGTAATTCCAGTCAACTTTCTAGTCACTACAGTTGGGTTCTATAAAGTCACTACAAACATCAAATTAGAGAATTTGAGCCATTGATTCTGAGAGAAATGAAAGAGTTAATATGTGAGTCTTTTGTGATAAGGTTTTCCACAATTAATCATATGTATCTGTGTGTGTGTGCATGCATGCATTTCACACGCATTTCTGTTGGCACACTCCTTATTCAACACATCTGCTCAATTCTTTTACACTGAACTCATGACCAACAGTGCTACAACTCATGCCTGAAAAAAAAGCTGATCTAATGTAATGTTTCTTCATCAGACACATCAGTCTTTTTGCACATATGAATGCCAGACAGCAGCTGGGGGGTGCATTTTAAACAGCAAAATCACTAAGAAAAAACACAAAATTGCAAAACAACAAAAAGTGGTACTAAATAAATTGCAAAACAGATACTTGTTTATAAGAGCTGATACTTTGACTTCAGCTGGGAATGTGTGCATCTGGTCATTCAAAATTTTCACTGCTCTTTTATCTGCAAATGACCATATATCTTGGTTTTAGGGCTGCAAATAAATTTTCATGGCCATTTATCCACTCATGAAATCCTCAAATAATGAGGATTTTTTTTTTTTTTACAAAATGAGGCCTTACTGGATCCAGGTAGGCCCTGAATTCAACATGGCTGATATACTTTAAAGGAAAAGGAAAGGACACATACAGACAGAAAGACAAACAGAGAAGGAAAAGGGCCATGTGATGACAGAGGCATAGACTGGAGTGTGGTTATAAACCAAGTAATCACAAGAATTGTCAGCATCCACCCCCCTCCCCAAGAGGAGGACAGGGAGAATCCTTCTGTAAATCCTTCTGAGAAAATACTGCCCTGTTGACACCTTCCAGCCTTCAGAAGGAAGAGAATACATTTCTGCTATTTGAAGCCGCCCAGTTGGGATACCTAGGTATAGCAGCCCTAATACACTAACCAAGTCTGACAGACACTACAGCCAGCTCCAGGGGGATAGGTGCCATAGTCATGCATGTCCAGGGAACCCATTTTCAATAGGACTGCTACAGTTCGTGTCTATATGTTCCCCCAACACCTCAAGTGGTCCTAGGTAAGGCTTTTCAGAAGTGACCGGATCTACAGTTTGTGACACTAGGATTAATTCATGGTGCAATGCTAGGATTAAAAGATTAAAGGTGTGAGTGATAACTACCCCAAGAGCAAGTAGCCTGGATAAGCCATAGGGGACAGAAAGAGGGTCTCTGCTTGCCACTGTTCATTTGCTTGCTTTTTCTGTCTTTTGCCTACAATGAACTATTTTCCTCAGTGAGGCCCCTCTGCCATGCCACCTTGTCTAGAAAGCAGCGAACTGTGGACTGAAACCTCTACAAACTTAAGCCAAATAAACCTTCACTCTTTAACTTTGGGTGTTGAGTATTTTGTTTCAGCAACATAAAAAAGTAAGACAGGAGACATTCCAACTCCTAGTCTTACTTTGCCTCAAAGATCAAATGAGAAAATATCTGCAAAGAATCCAAACGAACAGAACATGTGATATTAGTTTGGTGAATTATTGCTCAAGTCCTCAGGGCACCAGATTAACCTTATAGTAGCCTTGCAGCTCTAAGAAATCTGAACTCTTTGGATCCTGGGCAAGGGGCTGCCTCCACACCCTTGCTCAGGATGTCCCTCACCCAACAAGCTCCATTCTACCCTAGGCTGCTGTGCCAAGAAGGTGAAGCTTTTCTCTCTGAAACCCCAGTAGTATAAAGAATGCTCCTCTGACAGCACATAGATTTTTGCCTCTGGTAATAATTATAGGTGAACATGTGCTGTGTCCACAATGCAGTTAAAATCCTCCAAGATGGGAAACTCATAGTTCAAGTGTCTTTCACTTGCCTGACACATAGTAGATGCATAATTGATAAGCACTCTGTGAGGCACAGAAGATCCTCAGAGAAAAAGAACTGTCACGGTCTCTCCTGTTTTGATGTCCATGCTCTGGGATTATTGAAGGCGTGAATGGATACATTAAATTTAAGTTTCTTCCATAGCAGATGGGAAGACAGAGCCCTGAGGCCGGTACAGATCAAACACACCTATGCCAGGAGGAGGATGGAGCTTTCTTCAGGCTCTCTGCACACCTAGATCAGGCACTGGACAGGTCCCTGCACTGGCCTCTGCCCTAAGGATGCCAGTCAAATGGCCCCTTTGAAGAGCAGGATGACCGCACATGGTTTATTCTGAACATGGTTATTTTCATGTTCCCTGGCTGTGCATTCCTTCAGAGCAGACTGGCAAGAGGTAAGCAAGGTGGCTGGCCACTGCTGAGCACCTCTGAGGTTTGGTGAGTCCAAGACCACAGACAGGCAAACCTGGCAGCTGGGAAGATGTCCAGAGAATCAGGAGTCCTTCTTCCTTGGATTCAGTCCTTTGTTCTCATAGGGAGGGCATCACCAAGTCCAGAACCCTTTTTTAACCCTTCCTATAACATGAAGTGGCAGAATAGGGAGGAGTCAGAGATGGAAAATCTGAGATCACACAAATTTTTTGGACCAGACCAGTAACCAGTATGGGTGAACAGACCAGGTGTGTGCCTCCAGGGCACTATGGCCTTGGGTACACACTCAGAGTGTGGATGCATTCAGTTATTGGGACCTTTAATGCTGCACCAAGTTCAAAGCACCCAGCTGACCAGACTCAGCCCAGTGCCCATTATTCCAATTCTCTGATTGTCCTGATGGAGACCCTGGACCCTGGGTAGAGGTGAGGTCTATTTCGGCCTGCCCATGTGGTAAATGACCCACAACATCAAGAAGAAAGCCCAGGCCTGCCGATACCCTAGCACACCACCTTTTCTTTGCTTATTCTGCTGTAGAAATCTGGGCAGAGGACTCCTAGAAAGACCTAGAAGAAAGCCTGTTTATAGGGGCAGGGAAAAAGAAACTTGTATTTGGAAAGTAGATAGTGTTGGTTGGACCAAGAACTGAAGCTGAAATGTGACTCATTTGTGTGTGTACATGGGGCAGCTGTGCTCCCCTCTTTCAAACCCTCTCTCAAGGCTGAACAGTGCCTGGTATATAGTAGATGTGCAGTATGTTAACAAGTTATAGAAATACTGTTTTGGAAACTTGAAAACCAGGAAGGTTTGCACCCATTATCCCAGAACTATTGATATTTTCCCCCAAATTCCTGAGCATTCTCTTTGAGTGCCAAGTCTTCCATGACGTCCTCAAATTCATAATGAGTATGCAATAAACAGCAAGTAGCTCAAGGTGAGTCATTCATTAATCATAAGCAAAACAAGCCCTGACCAAGGACACATCAGCACATGCCATAAAAAGAAAAGAGAGGAAAGAATTGCCCAATCTCTCTAATATTAACTGTGTTACATTTTTTTCATACAAGTTCTGAGAATGATTGCTTCCAACACTGGTTTCTATGAATCTGATCCAAAGTCAATTTCCCTTGAATACCTCGATGCCCGCTTTGCAGGTGCTGAGAGAAAGATGAGGGAGTTTGGAACCAAAGTCACCCCTGAAAAGGACAGGATACTTAGCTGCTGGCAGTGACCCTCCAGGGGCCTTGTGCTCATCACTTCTTCAGAATTGCCTGGTGTGCTCCGGGGGTGCAGAGAATAGCCTGAGAAGCTGTCCTTGGGAGGCACAGGTAGGAAGTGGTGTGCTCACCTGTTGGGGAGGTGAGTCCTGTGGAGACTATTCGTCTTCTCTCACATGTGCCCTCAGATACAGGCAGATCAACGGCTGTGATTCCATCTTATAAATTGGCAAACTGAGCCTCAAAGTGTGAATGAGACCCATCACAGAACTCTTCCCACACTCCACACCACCTTCACAGCAGCAGGGCAGGGGACTGCAAGTGCCTAAAAGTAGCTGGTCATCTGTCCCTCCAAGGGCTGTTTGGCTGTCCAAAGTGGTAGACGCTGGGTTACCAAATACCACCCTTTGTGCTCGCTGTGATAGCAGAGCACCCTGCCCCTTCTCAGCCCGTTGCTGACTCCATTGTCTCTCTCCAGCTGAGGAAATGGGCTGGGCTGTACTGTGCACCCTGATGAGTGTGCAGCTCCCTGAGAGGGTGCCAGGGCCCAAGTGGCGTGGATACGCCCCCCATGTAATTTGCACAGCATGGGAGTTCTGTGATCCAAAGGTGAGAGTCAGGATTTTCCTCCAAAAAAGTCCATAGATGGGGGAAAAGATGAGTTGAAAAAAAAAAGAAACTTGACACAAATTACCTGGTACTTGCTAGGGTGGAAGGAGGCGGTAGGAACTGCCAGGGAAAGTCTGGTTAATACTATCTCTGTAGAGCAGAAAGACCAGCTGATGGGTGGGGGCTGGGCCAGGGGAAGAAACTCCTGCGGACCTGGTTTTAGCATCGTTTGACAACCCAGGGACGTCAGGAAGACTGAACCTAAAGCGTTCTCTTGTGTAGGAGTTTCAAATGCCAGGGGACTAGCAGGCTGCTGCAGAATCACTTGAGAATTGCTAAAAATGCAGACAACTGGCTCTCCCTCCCAGAAATTCTGAATCACAAAATCAAGAGTGTCCCTAGGGCAGTCATATTGATTGCTGTTGGGCTCCCAGCATCTTCCTCATGCAAAGTCCACTGGGAGTCTCCCTTCATTTGACAAGGGAAGTAATTAAACTCAGAAGGAAAAGAGTTTGGTCAAGACTCTGTAGAAAATTGCAGATACATATTTCAGCAGCATCTTGATTCCTTCCTCCTTTTCTCTTTCTTTCCTCTTTCTTCCTTCTTTTATTCATGTATGCATTCAACAAGCATTTGAATTCAACATTGTGTTAGGTACAAAACCATCAGGATCCCTCCCTACAAGGAGCAAACATGAGAGAGGAAATATCAGACTTAATCACACAGGTATGTAAGAAAGGGGGTCAGGGATTTGATCTTGCAGAGATGGCCTCAATGACCTTATCTGTAAATCGGAGGTTCTTCATTTGCTCTGCCTCCCTCCCCTCCTGGACAGCTCAAGCAGGAAGTTAGCGGGGAATGGACTTTCACAAACATGAAAGTAATTCTCCAAATGCTAGGCTTATCCCGACTCTGATAGGCATTCAATAAATGTTTGTTGAATTGAATTGCTGAATTGAATTATTCTACAAAAATAAAGCAAGGATTAGCAAGAATCCTTCGCACCAACCAGTGTTCACAAAGTTTTCCTGCTTGCGCTGAGAAGACACAGTCTAGTTTACCAGATCTAAGGTAAGCCTTCTACCAATCCCTAGAATGTCAGAGCTGGAGGGCTCTCAGACATCATTTGCTTCTACCTGCTGTCAACTTCAAAGAATGGAAAATTGAGGTCTGGTTGGGGAAAATATTTTTCAAAGTCACACATAGAAAGAATGTGAGACCCAAGGCTTCCTGAATCCCAGAGTAATTGAACAGATAATAAATTATGTAGAAAACAGAC